TATGCTCGGGAAAGTGGTTTAATCTCTTGCATTATTGTTGACTCGAATTTCCCTCTAATAGATATTTAAAGATTCAACTGGAAGACTTGAAGGATTACCAGAGAGCGCTGTCCTACATTGGAAAACTAGGATTTTATGAGGTACATTAAATTTGTGTTTCGACTTTTAAGTGGTAGATACTGAAAGAATGAAGAAGTAAAGCTTTTCTGTCTTCATTTCAAGGCTGAAGGAAACATGAAAAAATATGGAAAGAGTTTGGTGAATGCTGTCCCTGATGAATCAACAAAGCTGCTAAAAGTTTTATGTACGGATTACAAGCCGCAGCGACTTCATGAACGTGAGTTTTGTTCGAGCATTTCGATTTTGTGTGGTCAACTCAAAATCAAAGGAATGACGTCAGGCAATTGGAACCGGGACTATCGTCTTAAAGGGTCAGTGAGAAATAACTGAACGCAAAAACTTGCAAACTTCCTAAAGCGCGGGAAAACACAAATTACCAAGTCGCTGTTGATTTTAGCTTGCATCTGATTGGCTGGGTAGGCGACGTGAGTTTCGTAGACCATTCACATAGCGAAACAATGCAGTCCTGGTTGACTCCCAAAACGAGAAAAAAATCATATAATTTCAAGCTGACGAATCGATTTTTGCGTTTTGAATGAGTGAAATTTTGAATGACTTCACTTCTCCTTGCAATCTGGTGATGTTATGGATCTTGTAGATTTTAAATCGTTATTCTCCGAAGGTAAATTGAGTTGGACAGATTTTAGAGAGTCGGGAAGGATAATATTACTGTTAACGTTGTTGTAGGAACAGTTTCCGGTTCTGTCACACCTGTCAGTGCTGGGGTTTATCAGTCCTTCACAACCGCTCTCGGTAAGCTGCTGTTGCTATTCAGTCACCATCCATGGCTCGTTACTCGTCGCAAACCACGTCATACTCACGTCAAAGTCACAGTCAGCGTCACATCTCGTCCTCTGACATTTCTTGCATTGTTTACGTCAAATTTTACCTCACTGTATACTTCAGACATATGTTTTGCCTTGGTATACATCATGTTATTTTTTGCGTCAATGCATAACCTCCATCTCCCCCATGGAACACAGCATTACTTCTTTCAAGCCTCACTCGCCTCGAAGGACTGTTCTCCATGAAATTTTACCTTCGTGGTAGACTTTCAAATGGTTCTAAGTCATGTCTTACTCGTCACGTTCACTCTCCAATCTGTGTTAGCATTGGTTCTTTTGAAAGACCGTTAGCGATGGTTTGTGTCTCTGGAAAAATTTGGCTCAAATTTGTCAATTTTATCCCATTCACTACGTGTCGATCTTATCAATTTTTTTTCTCTTCTTTTTGGTTTATTTCCTTCAGTTTGGTATTTTTGCTGTCTTACCAAACAGATATTTTAGATTTATTTTAATATTTTTCTTGTCATAGTTAATCCGCCTCGTTGGAATATTATTGTGACACTTAGAAAACAATGAATAGGAAAAATACTGATCTGTATGAATCGAACCAAACGATACACTGTTTTTCTGGGTTCTCACAATAACACACTGGAAAGTGTCAAGTAAAACTTGAAAATGAACTCTCCGCAGAATATCAGTTATTTCTTTGTTGCCATTTCACTCCTGTAATTCAGCCATTTACAGAAACACAAGCAGTGATCCTTTAACCTCAAAGAGTGATTAGAATCTAATTTCTCCTTTCAGTAGCACTCATGAATCAAACATTTGGGTCACGAGAATAAAGGGAATGATTACCTCTTGATTGTCAAACAAATTCTCCTTGCCATTGCCATTGGAAACGTGAAGAGAACAGTACGGAGAATATACATGTAATGTTAGGGTGTAAAGGGTTAATGTTGTCTGAAGGTTCCGCCAAGTCTGACCAAAAGAACCTTCACAAATTATGATTTGTTTATGGTGATTTTGCTGCTGTCGTGTATGTGTGATATTTAGATCCTGCATCAGATATGGAGAGGAAGATTTACAAGGCTCGCGCCGAAGAGTTTATTCACATCTTTGTTCATCAAAAAGCCAAACTGATTGAGTTTCTGGAACATATGGTGCAGGTACGGAGTCACTTTCAAATCATTACTGTGTCTGGGTTCTTTCAAAATTTGTATAGGAGATACGAGATTCTAGTCAGCGGAAAGGGCTTCATGTAAGAGGCTAAAGTTCGAACACGAACAACGTCATCGTGTTGTGTTCTTGAGCAATCAATTGAGTTGATAATGTTTATTGGCTACCGTAGACAGTTTCAAAGCTGACGTTTCGGGCGTTAGCCCTTTGTCAGAACGAATGTAGGATATCATGTCAGCCGAGATACTTCCGATAGCAAACAAAAATTGTCGAGGGTGGTCGAGCACAGCTTTTCACAGCCCGCGCCGATCCTTTTTGCCCTGTGGTTTTGTTTGATGGAAAAGTCTTACACAGGAAGCCTGAGATTTTGTGATAGATCAGTTATTAAACTTCAAGGAAAATGATTACATTTTTCTCAAAGTATTTTTACATTTGTTCGAGTGTGTTTTTTTTTCTTTTTTGAAGGTTCAGCCTAATTCGTCTAACTTGGTGTATAACACTCTCCTTGAGCTGTATCTGAATGATGCTGCTCGTCAGAAGAATGTGGAAGCGCAAGTCGAACATGAACGTAAAGCTCTTGATTTGCTGAAAAATGTGGAGGTATGATCATGAAAATTGAATGCGTATTCATGGACAAATCAATCGTACAACTCACAATTTACTGCCGTACATTTCCTTGTAATTTAGAGTAGAGATACGATTTTCTATTCATAAAACACTCTATGGTCGTTAAGGTTATCTGTTGTGTTATATTCCTGCCCACCGAATGATTTATCATCACTTTTTTAGGGAGTGTTTTCTTGGTTGAGATTATGGCCGATATATTTTTACCTCTTCTGATTGAATGAGCATGCTGTCTTCGTACCTTGTCTTTCAGCGGTCTTCGATGCGCAGGCATCGATTGACGAAGCTTCTAGATCAATGTCAGTATCTGAGTAACTGCGCCCTACCCCTCCCCCTACCCAACGACAGTCAACTGATGACAAGTTAAAGTTAATGATGAGCTAGGGTAGGTGCGAAGTTGCTCAGATACAGACATTAACCCAGGCTTCCTATGAAGTGTATCCACAGACAGACGCTGAAATGCTCACTTTGCAGCATCATTGATTTGCGAGTGTTCTGAGGGGTTTTTCTTTTTGCATTAATCTTTTCAAAGGCACGTTACGACATTGACCACGCCCTGGTACTAGCACAGATGCACCACTTCAAGGCTGGTATCCTGTATCTGTACGAAAAAGCCAAACTGTAAGTTCAAATCGAAGAAATTTTTAAGTTTAGACTTATTTGAAATACGCCTCAAGCTGTATTTATGCCAGAAAGTTTTCCTTCCTCGCACTCTCTCAGTTTTATTACTTTTATCTTTAATTTGGATAGATACCAACAAATCCTTCATTACCATATGGAGCAGAACGAATATAGTCACGTGATAGACACGTGCAAAAAATATGGGTAAGTTTCGGGAACTTTTGAGAATGTTGGGGAGAATCTGTGCTATGTTACCGATTATGTTATAGTGGGAACAAGCGAAAAAGCGGCGGTGGTCATTAGTGTTTGCACTTAGGGCGGGAAAATTGTGTAACCGGCCTTATATGGCGGGAAATTTTGTGACTGGCGCCAAGAGCGGTAAAGCATGCCAGCAGCAAGGGCGGGAAAACATACGTGCACTTGGGGCGGGAAGATGTGTTATCGGTTTTGCGCTTGCGCTAGAGACAGAGTCAATGGCACGAAGAGCTCAAGACCAAGTCGCGATGTAAGTTTTTGCTATGCTTCTTATAACTCAAATACTTAAATTTGCCTTAAAATTTTATTTTTAGGACGTCAGATCCAAGTTTGTGGGTGCAAGCTCTCTCTTACTTTGCCCGACGTGAAACAGACTGCAAGTCCCAAATCAAGGAAGTGCTTGATCATATCCTTTTATAGAGTTTCTTAGGTTCCATGTAGTGCTATGAAGCATTTATGTTTTATTGTGCATGATCGTGAGCTTAGACCGTGAAAGCGTTTTTCTCATCGCTTTTTATTGCGATTATCACTTTGCGTTATAGTATTGTCAGTTATAGATTGTGGTTCTTGTGCGCGTGTTGGCATGCTCTGTATGTAAGAAGACCTCGTAACTAGGTGTATTGTTAGGTAAGACTGATATTTCCTTGACCGTGAGTCAAATATCGACCGTGGAAACCTCATGTCTCCTCTACTCGTGTTGCAAAACTTGGCGCACAATTCAACAGCCACATTGGCAGTGGTGAAGGTAATAAACAATTACCACTATGAGGGAAGCGAAATTTATCGTCATGAATTAGCGCCAATACTCCTCCCGGTGACGTTGTCAGCCTTAGTGAAAGTCGGTAAGGGGGGGCGAGTAAAGAAAGGCGAGGAGGCTTTGTGTACTCAAAGTTGAAAAAAAAAATGCAACATGTTTTAATCGCGGGAAAACGCAAGTGACCAAGTTAGGATTGGTTTTACTATTGCATCTGATTGGTCGAGATAGTGGCGCGAGTGTTTTAGACCAATCATGGAGCGAAGTAAAGCGAAACCAAAACAATCAGAATCAATTTCAACGCTAAATTTAAAATCGCTCAATCTGAGGGAAAGTAGCTTTAAAATCTGAATTTTTTAGCTCAGTATTGGAAATGAATGAAATTCTAGAAATTTGCCTTATTTCTAGTTTGAAGTGAAATAATCTGGGCCTTATCACAATGTTCTTGTCAACTTTACGTGAACTACGAGCATGTTTCTTTTAAACCTCTTGTTAATCAATTTATGCGACTTTGACTACCTACTGAGAACTTCTCTTTTACAGGACTACATCATACGTCGCTTGCAAATGGAAGACGAACTTATCGCAAATGTAAGAGCAAGGATTTTACTCTGCTACCTTAATCGTCTCTTAATTTTAAGTACTTATACTATTTTTTTTTCTCTTTAAGAAGGTCTTTCTATCTGCTTTTATCTAGGATGAGCGTTATATCCGACAATATCGCGAGGAAACGGAAAAAATGAGGAATCAAATCAAAGAACTGAAGACAAGGTAGCGGTAATATCGTAAAAGCGGTTATTGTTCATCGTGGTGGCAGTAGTTTCTTTGTTTGGCTAATACTTGTTTATACTTACGATAGGATGTAAAGGTTTAAAGCACTAACTTATTTGACCTAGCTTAATCATGCAATCTATTTTACCAGTGCAAAGATATTCCAAGGTGCAAAATGCAGCGTCTGTTCCCGACCTTTGGACCTGCCGGCTGTACATTTCTTGTGCCAGCACTCATTTCACCAAAAGTAAGTGCAGCATGTGCGGCGCATTTTTTTTTCACGTGGTTTTGCTTCGCTCGAAGTCATGACCTATTTTTTCATTATCTTTATTTTGTAGCTGTTTTGAAGGATACGCAGAATCAGACAACGAATGCCCGATATGTGCTCCGGAAAACAGGTGAGGGTAATTTTCAGTTGTTGTACTAAAAGGGTCCTAAAAAAACATTTAAATTTATGGTCTTTTTGTAAGAGAACCTGGGAGCTTCCTTAGCAGTTGACATGTTTTTGAAAATTTACCCTCTGGCCCTTTTTCTTGCGCTTAAAGGTTCAAGTAGATTTAAATTTTGAAATAAAGGTAGGGTCTGTTTTCTCGTTTTGGGAAGTCTTCAAGCACAGATTGTCATCGTGGATTAAAGAATCCATTTTTTTTCAATGATTTGCCAAAAGATGTAAAGCGGGTAGAAGAAAAGAAGATAGAAGGATGAATTGCTAATCAGATCCTCGAAGTCGAAGGGTTAACACTGAGATTTCGTTCTGTTTCAGAAAAGTACTTGACATAATAAGACAACAGGAGCAGGCGAAGGATCTTCATGAACAATTTCATTGCCAGGTGAGGACGAAATCTCCCGGAGATTTACGACAGCTTTCCGATGAAAATCCGAAGACGGATCGCCCGTCTCAAAACAATTCGGACTAAGGCATGATTTTTGTTCATTTCAGCTGGAGAGAGCGGCGGATGGGTTTTCTGTTGTGGCTGAGTATTACGGACGCGGTGTTTTCAATAAGGTTTGTTTTTTCTTTGATTAGACGCACTGCATAGGAGTATATCCTTTAATTTTTTTTTTTTTAATTAGTTTCCACTACGGATCTCGTTTTAACGAGACTTAACCAAGGGGCAGACGTGCCAATCTTTGTAAAATGCCCAGAAAGATAGCATATCATTGTATTTCTTTCAACACATACTCCTGGGAATATACTTGTGGGTGAATTTGTGTAACTTTTTTCTTGAATGCTTATGAGATGCATAATATACTAATGACCTGTTTGGGCGCTATAAGAGATTCATGTTGGAAGGTAATGGACTGTCCAAAACAAGTGGTACAGTTGTAACCTTTGCCAAGAATGTCTCTGCGGCCAAAAGTTCATGGAGGTGCATGCTTACGTGCGTTGGTTTTAAATATATATGCCTTCTGACCGGTTTTTCTGACTTTACAATCACCACCACCCGGTGGAAACCATTACTTTCTGCAGCATCAGTTCGGGAATTTTCCACGGGAAAAATTCAGCGGTTGAGACGTGTTTGATTAAATGTTCACAACAGTTCTACGCAATAGTTCTTCATATTTGCTTTTAGTGATAAACTTATTAGCTTGTATCGAAAGTATTATACAAATTCACTCCACACAAGCTTTTCTAAAAAATTGACACCTACGTCAAATGGTCGAGTTTGAAGTTTTCTCAGGCACGCAAGCGCTGGGTGCGTAAAGGGAATTAAGGCAAGCGCGCCAAAGGAATTTAGGCATTATTGCTTATAAATGTCCTTTTCAGAATTGGCGCCGTAGAGATTTCCAGAGTTGGCATTTCGAGCGTTAGCCCTTCGTAACTGCGAAAGAAACTCGCTGACGAAGGCCTAACACTCGAAACGCAAGTTTGCATGATCAACTCAGTTAATGAAAACAATTCATCCTTTTAACAATGTCAAAACAAAAAATTGTAATTTCCTGCCAACCATTTGAAAACGTTGGAAGATGTTGCCAGGGATGGCCGAGATAGATGCACGCAATCCCGTACGTCATAACTGACGAATTCAAGCTGGCCCCAACTAGTCGTGAAAAGTTGTTTTTTTTTCCTACCATTGTTTTGGATTTATCTCCTTTTGAACGCTCATCGTTCGATGCCTTAATTTCATTGTGTCTGATGGAGGAAAAATACTGAGTACTCTCTTGACCTCATTTGAAGCTACAACTAACCTTAACACTTAAACTCCCAAGAGTGACCAAGACAGAATTTCTCCTTACAATATCAATACAATATCAAGAAGACAAGTGAGAAGAATTAAGAAAAATATCATGTGGGCAATTGTTAGCCGATTTAATACCGAATTCTCCAAACTAACATCATGAGAACTGTATGGCAGACAGTAAGGAGAATTACGTTTGCGATCTGAAAGGGTTAATAGAGGGAGAGTTGTGGGAAAAGTCTGTGAATGAAAGAAAGTCGTGAACACTTATTGTCGAGTCATGAAGGAAAAGTGTAATTTGAACATGCTTAAGACAAACAATCAAGTGATTTTATGGCTTGCAGAGATGAATTCGATAGTGTTTTTCAAATTGCTGAAAGAAAAACCAGGATTAAGAGTATTGTTGTCTTTGTAGTTTATTTTAGTAGTTATTAACCCTAAAATGTTAGGGCAATTTTTTGAATTACCATTTATAGTTTTGTAACATAAGGAAAACTTAACAGTATTCGTGTCTCGCTTCTCAAAGGTGTTTTCATTGACAGAAAAATAGGAAAATGTTGTGAAAATCTTAAATACTTTCGAAATTTTAAGTAGGAACCTTCTACTTTTCAAAAAATGAGAAAACCTGCCATTGTTCGTTCGAACTTCAATTTCCTCTCAACTCTTCCGAGGTGGTGAAAAGACGAAAGGACATCTGCGATTTATACACGCAATACCAGAAGTCATGACGAAGAAAGTCTACAAAAGGTTATCCTCCGTGAAAAAGATAAAGCATATCAAGATTTAGCTATTAGCGAAGTCTTTTTCAAACATGGTTTTTAACGAAGTAATTGCAGGTTTCCACGTCCTATTCAATGTCATTGGTCTTCCTGGCAATCTACTTGTTATGGTGACGATCGCATTTGAAAGATTCCGCATCATGCGACATGTTTTACTTGCGAGCCTTGCATTGTCAGATTTCCTATGCTTGATTCTCGTGAACTCTTTCTGCATTTTAAGCACAGCACAACAGAATTGGTTGTACGGAAAAACATTTTGTCGCCTCCATCCAATCTTGGTGCGATATTTCTACGTCAACACGGCACTTCATCTGATAGCTGTATCGTACGAGCGATACAACGCCATAGTGAAGTCACCTTTGACCTACAGTGCCGCTATAACTAGTTCCAGGGTTGTAGGGATAGTTCTTATTTGGTTACTGCCGACTGTAGTCTTCATCTCTCCCGTTTTCGGTGTCTGGAGGTATGTTCAAAACCCCAAACTGTTCCTGTGCGAGCAAGCGATTTCTTCGGGAAGCATCACCATTGCGATCATTCTTCTAATCCTCGGGGTTGTTCCTTTCATCATAGTCGTCCTTCTGAATAGGCAAGTTGTGAAGACGGCGAGAAACCTACAGCGAAATTCCTTAGCCTTGCAAATAGGCAGCATCGAGGGCTCTGACCTAAATCAGCAACAAGAGATGCTCAGTAGGCACAGGGAGCTGAAAGCTGTTGTAGATGTTGCCATCGTCATTGCCGTGTTTACGTTCTGCTTTCTTCCCGGCTGGGCTCTAAGTGTAAGCCGTTTGTATTATGAAAATGTTCCGGTCGCAGCCATTTTAACCACAAGGTGCATATTCGCTGCAAGCTCGGTTTGCAACCCTTTAATCTACTCCATTCGAAAAAGAGAATTTCGAAGTGGGGTGAAGATGGTGTTGAGGCGTATTGGAAGAGCATTTGGAATTTCGTTCGGCACCGACAGCACAATCGTTGTTAACAATTTGGCATGTGAAACACGTGCTCGTAACTATGCCTCCACGGCAACAGCACAAGAATTAAAAGTCATTCGGTCTCTGCATGGAAGGATTTCATGTGTCACAGACGACACAAGGGGCATGAGAAACTCGGATTTTGAAGCTGGCCACCGAAACAGTATCTCCAGCGTAAGACGACAAAGATCACGGGCCATCCAGCCTCTGATTGGAAGAACTCCAAGTT